TCTGAAGGAACAAGCCCGCTCCCTGAACTGGTTGATCCTCACAATGGTCTTCGAGGGTAAGCGCGACGACCATCAGCAGCTGCGCGTCCTGGTTGCTGGCCCTGCCGCGGCTCGGGTACTCCATGTGGCGACCTCTGCCGCTCCTCCGCTGAGATTCCCCCTGCCCGACTGCCGCGTGCTGGTCCAGGGGCCCGCCTCTCGAGCCCGAACCCCGCATGGGCGTCATCTGGCAGGGCGTCTCGGGCGTCTCAGGAGCGGCGAGTGCACCTCTCGACGAGGATGACTCAGGCGACGGCCCCGAACTCCACCTCTTGTGCCCGAGCCCTCCTCGTTGACCCTCTTGGCCCGAGGGGTGGCTGCGCTCTCGTTGAGGCTCCTAAGCAGCTCCGAGTCGAACGCGCGCTCAGGACGGCGTGCTTCCCCCCATCCCACCCGCTCGGCGTCCACCTGGCTGTTCTCCCAACAGCGCTGGAGGTCAGCCATGCCGTCGGTGGAGTTGGGGGGGGCGGCCGTCTGGCCCGCTTGACACTAACGGCTGCCGCTGCTGCCAGGTACTTCCTCTTAGCTGCCTCCAGCACCCCAGGTTCCGCTGCGGTGGCGGCCTTGAGCTCGGCTGTGGCAGAGGTGAATGCCGCTTGGCGCTATGGCAGGTCGTCGCCGCCGAGCAGCTCCACGTCGACGTCGTCGCTGTCTCCGTCGGTGGCGGCCACGCGCTCGCCCCCGCCACCTGCGGGTGGCTGAGCGCCGCCGTGAGGAGCGGCAGCAGCGGGAGGTGCCGCAGCTTCCACCCGCCTGGCCTGCGCTGCTGCGGCCTGCAGGCGCTGGAGCGTGGCCCACGCCGCGGGACCCTCTTGCGACAGGGCGACGCTGTCATCAAGGGTCGCGGTGACTGCCTTGACCAGGTCGTCCACCTCCTCGGCCTGCAGGCGGATCATGTTTTCCTCCACGCTGCCGGGGTCCAAATTGCTGGACTCCAGCGCGCTGCCGGCCTCAGCGAGCGAAGTAGGAGAAGGAGGAGGAGGAGCAGGAGGAGCAGGAACTGCAGGAAGAGCGGGAAGCAGGAGGAGCATGGCAGGATTAGTTCCAGGAGTAGGAGGGGCGCCAGGAGGAGAGGAGGAGGAGGAGGAGGAGGAGGAGGAGGAGGAGGAGGAGGAGGAGGAGGAGGAGGAACTCCAAGAGGGGGAGGTAGTGAGGAGAGAGAGAGGAGGATAATGGCGGATTGCACAGCCTCGAAGGTGGCTGGTCGTTGGGAGGAGAGATGGGATGCCTCCCCGCCCACGGCCAATCATGCACTTCGGAACCCTGCGCCCTGGGCTGCCTGCCCACCCTGGGCGGGGAATGAGGACGAGGAGCTCCAGGAAAGAGAGAGGAGGGGAGGTTAAGACTGCAGTGGGATGAGGGGTGATGAGGAAAGGACGGAAGGGGAGGGATGGGGGAGGATGAAGGCGGAGGAAGGAGGCAGGAGGCGGAGGAAGGAGAAGGAGGGGGAGGAGGCAGGGGGAGGAGGGGGGAGGGACCAGGCGCGTGCTCTTCCAGTGAATGCCGAAGGTGCCAGCTGTCGGAGGACGAGGAAGGAGGAAAATGAGGATACCAAACAAAGGAGGAGGAGGAGGAGGAGGAGGAGGAGGAGGAGGAGGAGGAGGAGGAGAAGGAGGAGGAGGGAGTGGGTAGGAGGGACGATGGAGCGAGGGAGGTAAGGAGGGAAGGGAAGAAGAGCTCCAGGAGACCGGGAAGAGGGGAAGCTTCAGAAGAGGAGGGATGGTGAGGAAGAGGTCGAATAGGGAGATGGGAGATGAGGAGAAGAGGAGGAGGAGGAGGAGGAGGAGGAAGAGGAGTAGGAGAAGCTTGGAAAGGACTATGAGGGAGGAGGAGAAGGAGGCAGAGGAGGCCATCCCCCTAGTGTAGGCCGCCAATCTCACACGTCTCCGCCAGTTCCCAAGCTCAGTTCCAGCGGTGTTTCACGTACCGCTGACCATGGGGGGCACCGTGCGATGGGCCCTGCACTGTAGAGCGCCACCGCAGGTGCCGACACCGTCGCAAGAAAGGGGGAGGTATCAGGAGGAGGAGCAGGAGGAGGAGGGGGGAGGAGGAAGAGGAGGAGGAGGAGGAGGAGGAGGGAGGAGGAGGAGGAGGAGGAGGGGTGGAGGAGGAGGAGGAGGGGAGGAGGAGGAGGAGGAGGAGGAGGAGGAGGAGGAGGAGGAGGAGGAGGAGGAGGAGGTGATGAGGAAGAGCCGAGTGGGTGCTTCAAGGGAGTCTTTGCCGTTGTGCGTGCCAGTGGGCTTCCCTACCTGTCCAGTGTTGTTCGCCCCTCTATCGACGTAAACCCGCCGACCCTGTCGGCGTGTGTGGGGTGTCTGTCCGGTCCCGTCGACGGGGGGCCTTCTTTCGTCCCCTCCTTCCCATCCTCCTCTCCCGTCGGGGGAGAGAGAGAGAGAGAGAGAGAGCACCTTCCTCGTTCGGGGAACGGGTTAGCAGCTCGAGGGAATTCCATGCACGTCCTCATTACGTCAAAAGAGAGCCCCTTCCCTTTGTCCCTTCCCCGGCCGGGGGGGGGTCCGGGGGGGGGGGGGGGGGTCAAATTCGCATCGCCTTGGGGGTTCTCCTCTCCCACGCCGGTCCTTCTCCTGCGCGCCGGTCCTCCTCGGGTCGTCCTCCCCAAGTGGGGAGGAGTCCCAGGGGGGGGAGGGGAGTCAGATACGCATCCGTCCCTGAAGGTCCTTCTCCCCCTCCCCGCCCCTCTCCCACGCCAGTCCTCCTCCGGTCCTCCTCCCCAGGGGGGGGGCCCAGGGGGGAGTCCTTTTCCTCCTCCTCCTCCTCCTCCTCCTCCTCCTCCTCCGCCGCCTTATCTCCGCCTCTTCCTCCTCTTCCTCCTCCTTCTCCTCCTCCTCCTCCCCCTCCTGGTCGTCGTCGATGTCTTTCAGGGTTGGCGGCACTGGCCGCCAGGCCTTCACACTACTTGTCGCATGTGCTTTGTCGTTGATCGAGTGCTTGCCGGGGAACGATGCGGGGGGGGACTGGCTCCGGGGGGGAACCGAAGGATTGCACGAAGGATTGCACGAAGTTTTTTTTTTGCAATCCTTCGTTCGAAGGTTTTTTTTGCAATCCAGGTGTTTTTTTTGCAATCCGACCTGGAATCGGCGATACATCGGCAGTACGTCTCCGATCGGCCCCCGATGGCGAAGCCACACGGTCCTGGGCGGGGCGGGCTATCGGGCCCCTGTCGGCGATCAGTGGACGGTTGGGGGTCGATGCAGCCCCCCTCGGCCTGTTCCCACCTGACGATGCCCCTTACTCCAGATTTCGCAAGAAAGGGAGGGGGGTCTCATTTCGCGGGGGGGGGTCTCTTCCAGGCTATCTTGGAGGGCCTGGGGGGGTCTGGGGACGACGTTTTGGAGGGTTCTCCCACGGGGGAGGTCTGAAATGGCTTGTCTTGGAGGGTCCAGACCCCCTCCCTTTTATTACGAACTCTGGAGTACATGAGTGCTGCGCTCCGATACTGCTGTTTTGTGTTTTGCAAGCGGTCGCCTGTACAACGTGGCAGTCGGGGAGCCCGCTGCCGAGGAAAACTGCTGCCTGCGTGCTACGAAACTGGGGGGGGGGGCGCATGCAAGACTGAGCATCGTTTGCCCGTGCACACAGAAGCAACGACGCAAAAAAAAATTGCAAGCAAGAGCTAACTATTCCGCAAAGCCATGCGTGGGGCGAAGCAGGGAGCACACACACACATAAGCGCTGTCCTCGGAACGTGCGGATGGCACAGTACTGACCTAAACTTCGGCGAAAAAAGGAAAGAAATAATGCCCCCGCCTCGCGCAACAAAAAGGCGCGTACCGCGGGGAACGGATGCAGCTGGCTCCCGGACGGGAGTGACCAAATTCCATGGGGCCCCACAGGATCCCGTTGGATTCCTCAGTGCCCCTAGGGATCCTGCAGGATTCCTACGGACTGGACCTTGCGCAACCTGAGTGTCGCCTGGAAATTTGCGCAAGCAGCATTCTGAGAAGAACCAGGGGGCGCGCACGCCACTCGAGCACTCGCATGGCCTCAACGAGTCTAACGCGGATGGCCTGGTGCTCGTGCTACCCTCCCCCATCCAGACCTCTTGGTTGGCGATGAGAGCGCCCAGGGCATCTTTACCCCTTCCAGATTGGCAGATGTGGGATGCTTGCTGGGCCTTGTGTTTTACACAACGTACGCAACACGCCATGAACAACACGCGTTCAGTACGAAAACCAAAAAAGTTGGAGCAACAATCTGGTGTGTTAGCGTTTTCAGGTCGGTCACCACCACCATCAACACTGCCACGACCACTGCCGCTACGACCGCCGCTACCACTACCAGTGCCGCCGCCGCTGCCACTACAAGTAGGCCTCCGGGCCCCTTTCGCACTAGCTTCATACCGTTTCCGATGTGCTTGTTGTTGTTGCCATTTCAGCTCGGCACGCGCAAACCCGTGTGCCGAACTGGAAATGGCAAGGAGGGAGGAGGCAGCAAGGAGGGGAGGATGACCAGGAGCAGGAACACAAGACAATGATCGAGAACAACGAGACGGACAAGGTTGGCCCTGCGACGAGATAGACAACAAATACTAAACAAACGCTCCCACCTCGAAGGGATGAAACAACGCAGCAGCAGAAAACACCTGGAAGCGCTAACAGAAACGCGAGGGACGCTTTCGACGCCAGCCAAGTCCGACCCCACCCGTCGTCTCAGACCCCTCCCCGGCGCGGCGTGCTGAGACGTGCGGAGGCTACTGAGGTTGTGAGGCCGAAGTCTTGCAGGCTCCTCTAGGTGTTCAGACGAGAAACAGAGACCACCGCCACCAAGATCCCACCGGGGGGCAACCACCCCTGGACGTTGACACGCCTGGGCGTCGTCCGGTGCTGGGCAAAGCTTGGGTGCGCCACCGCCCAGCGGTCGCGTTCCCCCCGCCTCGATGGGCTCTCGGTGGAGCGGGTCCCTGCTTCTCCTCGGAGCTGTGACGCCGACGCCCTGCAGCTTCACGCGGCAGCCACGTACTTGCCAGGGCGGCCCCACTGGCAGAGCGCCCAAAGTCTCGGCACCGAGAGCGCCTCTCGGCTGCACGCAGGAGTGACCCCAGGCACAGAGCGACCTCTGGTGCGCGGCTTTGATGGGGCCGCGGGGCAGCGATGTCCCAATATGCAGGCCAGTGCTGGGGAGACCCCCAGGAGAGCCCAGAATCGGAGGAGGAGGAGGAGGAAGAGGAGGAGGAGGAGGGGGGGGGGCAGGAGAGCCCAGAATCGAATCGACAGGCCGGATCGGCGATCGAAATGAAGCGGATCGGCGGAAATCGGCAGCCAAGTCGGGAGAAACCGAATCGGCGGAAATCGGCTGGCTTGTAAGGCCTCCGCCGAGACATCGGAATCAACTTCGGAATCCGAAGCCGAATCGGATTCGGAATTGGCCGAAGTCGAATCGAATCAAGTCGGAGGAGTCCAAATGAACCCTGGACCCCTGTGAACCCGCACCACAGGTCACACTGAAGACGGAAACGCGAGGGTCTGCAAGGCTCACACGTTTTGCCGCCGAACCTGTGAGCCCGCACCGCAGACCCCCGACGTCGAGAGTTTTGTCACAGCGTCGACCCCCAGAGGTCTGGACCCCTTCCCCAGGAGCGGCTTTTCATCCTGAATCGTTTTTTTGGCAGGGACCGACGGTCCCGGCAGTTCTATAGGCCTACCACGACATGTTCTTAGAACCCAAGAATGTTCTAAGAACAAAAACAAGGCTCTTAGAACATAGACCCGATGTGTTAAGACAGGACCGCCCCAGCCAGACATGCTCTAAGAACATCTCGCGGAAGCCACAACATGTCCTCAGAACATTGTTTGGTAGGCCTATGGGCACGCCAGGGCGCTTCGCCACTGCTTGATGTTTGACGCTCTCGAGGCCCAGTACGGGCCCCCAGGAGGCCGAACGTAGCGAAACACCTCCCGCCGTGCTTCTCTCGCAGCGCGAGGGGGTCTGGGCTGTAGGCCCGCACCACGGGCCACTCCGGCGATGGGGGTCACCCCTTGCGCGCAGCCGCAAGTCCCCATGGTCAAAGCGCATCGGCGCTGCCCGTGTTTCGTTCCTGCCTTGGAGCCAGTTCGGCGCCCGTGCCCACTCGGCAGCTGAGAGGACTTGGACTCGAGCCCATTCGCAGAGGCCTCCGAGGTGGGGTCCGAGCATGTGGGGTCGGGGGATCGCGCCGCATCGCCGATGCATTGGCGACGTCGGCGACACATCGGCGACGCAGGCATGGAGAAAGTCGGGCCCGCATCTAGCTGCATCGCCGATGCATCGGCGATGTGGCGCGATCCTGCGACCCCATCTACTCGGACCCCATCCAGGAGGTCCAAAATTCGGCCGCCGAACGGGCCAAGCTCCCCCCGCCCACTCGGCGGCCGAACCGGCTCGGACGCTGAACGGGCCCAGGAAAGGACCCCAGACTTAGGTCGGGCATGTCCTCCTACAGGCGGATTCTGGAGGAAACATTAGAAATACCTCAAACAAATGATCCAAAAAGAATCAAAAACATGGTCGAAAAACCGTGCCCAGACTACTTTGCGACTATTTCTGAAGATTCCTCATGTGAGTATCGTTTAACCGATCCCCATCCCCAGCGGCGTGGCCTGGGCCCCACTGGCCGATTTACCCCCCAGATGGGGATAGAGGCCGTTCCCTTCGGGCTTCGAGGGGTATATCCCCAACTGGGGTGGTAATTTGGTGAGGGTCTCGAAGAGGATGGAGATGGGGATGGGGATCGCTTACAGTGCGGGCGCGGCCGCAAGAAACCCTTGCAAGAAACCCAACCAAACTCGCGCGCGGGTTGCACCCTGAACGCAGCAGCTTCTTCAACGGCTGCGGGAAGTCACCGCGCAGCGCGCGGAGCGAAGAAACCCAGGATACCCTGACGAAAAGCATATGGCTTCTTGATGCGCGACCCCACTGTAAACGATACGTCCCTGGAAGTCCCGACCCTTTCCCCAGGACCGGTTGCCCATCCTGAATCGTTTTTTGACGGCCCCGAAGCCCGGCGAGGACCCCCCGAGGCCGAAAACATCCGACGTCTCGATTTTTTTGAGACGCGGGCCCCCGACCTCCCGACCACTTCCCCGGGACCGGTTTTTCGTCCCGAGTCGTTTTTTGACGGCCCCGAGGCCCAGCGAGGGCCCCGAGAGGCCAAAAACTATGGAAGGCCTGCCTCGATTTTTTCTCGAGACGCCCACGCGAGCACGTCTGGGCCCCGATCCTGCCCAGGGACACGCCCGACTCCACCCCAGACCCCCGACGTAATGATTTTTTCGTTACGTCGACCCCAGAGTTCTCGACCCCTTCCCCAGGACCGGCTTGTGATCCTGAGTCGTTTTTTGACGCTCCCGAGGCCCGGTGAGGGCCCCCAGAGGCCGAAAATGGCGAAAAACCTCCCGTCATGATTTTTTCATTACTCGAGGGGGTCTGGGACCCCGGACCGAGCTGGCCGGGCCTTCGGGCCCAGCAGGCCCAGCCAGGGCGGCCGGCGCCCCGCGCGCAGCTTCCCCAGGGGCGCGCCGAAGCCGCCGCCGCGCTCCGCCCGCCGCGCGCCCCGGCCCGCGGCGAGGAACTCCGCCGCCCGCTCCACCTCGAGGGAGGCCAGGGGCGCAGCTGGAGGGCCCAGAATCGGAGGAGGCGGAGGAGGGAGGAGGAGGGGGAGGAGGGAGGAGGAGGAGGAGGAGGAGGAGGAGGAGGAGGAGGAGGAGGAGGAGGAGGAGGAGGAGGAGGAGGAGGAGGAGGAGGAGGGAGGAGGAGGGAGGAGGAGGAGGAGGAGGAGGAGGAGAGGAGG